AATTGATAGGAGATGCAGGACTCAAAGTGAAGAAGAAACCGAAAGAACAGTAGAACAAAAATGGTAGATGAAGAAAATAAAGTATAAGAAGATGAAAATCCGACGATGAAAAATAAAATAAAACAGAAGTATATACAGATGCGAAAAAGACAAACAAAAATTAGAAAGAAAAAATGTTTGGATAAGACAAAAATGATCAAGAAGAAGTAAAAAACAGAAGATAAAAACAGCTAATAAAACCAAAAGAAGAATAGTAGAAGATGTTGAACAATAAGAATTTAGAGAATACAAAGACAATAAAATAAAACAAAGAAGAAGGGGCAGACAAATAAAACAAAAGAAATCAACAGAAAAAACGAAGAAAAAACCGAATGAAAAAAAATCAAGAAGTCAAAGAAGATGAATAAAATACATAAGAAGAAATAGTCAAAAAAAATGAAAGATAAGAAGAAAAAAAACAAAGAATAGGAAAGCTAAAAAATAAAGAAAAAGGAGAAGAATAAGAAAACAACGATAATATGAACAAAAAATAATACAATGAACAAGTAAGATAAAAAAATAGTCGGATAGGTCGATGACGATGAAAAAAAAAAATTAAATGACCAATTGAAGAAGAAACAAGATAATCAGAAGAAGAAGTCATAAAAGAAAACCAGTAGATAGTAGAAGAAGTGAAAGAAAATAATAATAAAATTGAAGAAAACTAGAAGATGAAGAAGACAAAGTAGAAAAAGGTAAATATGATAAAAAAATGAAGACAAATCAAATGAATAAGAAGTAAAAAAAGATGAAGACAATAAAGAAGAACAATTTGAAAACAAATAACGATAAAAAAGAACTCAAAAATTTAAGGAAAAAATTAAAAAATGGAAAATATAAACCATGAGAGGAGTAAAAAACAGATAAGACAAAGATCTTAAAAATATGATGAAGAATTTGGAGAGAGTAAGAATAATTGGAAGAAGAGGAATAAGAATCTGTTGAAGGAGAAAAATAAAATAAAATAGAAGACAAAGTAGAAGAAGAAGAAGATAGGGAAGAGAAAAAATTAGATGAAAACCTTAAAAGATGAGGAATTGGTGAAAGTAAAAGAATATGAAGATGATGTAAATTCCGAAAAACACCAGAAAATTAGGAAGTCGGTGATAACAAAGAAGACGATGGCAATAAAAAAGGAAAAGAAAAAAAAGAAGAAGAAAGAGAATAATAATACATTGAAAAAGAAGAAGAAAGGGAATAAAACCTGGAAGAGAAGAAAATCAAAAGATGTATGAGAGGAGAAAGGAAAAGATGTGGAGAAGAAGAAGAAGACGTGAAAAAAAAAACCAGTAGAATAAAAATTAAAAAAAGACATAGAAAATAAAGAAGAAAAAAAACAAAAAAACAAAAAAAAAAAGAAAGAAAGAAGAAAATGATAGAGAAAAAAAATTAAAAGATAAAAAAAGAAAAAGATGAATAATTCATATTAATCTTATTTTAGTTTGTGTTTATTGATATCATACACTTATTAGTATTGATTTTAAAGTTTTTAATATTAGACAATGATTACTTTCATAGATTAGCTTTATTTTAATTTTGTATGTATCAAATTCTTGATCTAATTATTTTTTGATTTATGATATAAAATTTTATTTTAAGTTTCAATGAAACTTTTTGGTCCGCGCAAGTCGCGGGCTAAACACCTAGTAATTAGAAAAATGTCTCTCGATTCAAACACTCTTCTGTCTTTTCTAGTTGTTAATATAAATCATCGCTAAATAAATTTCGTGGAGTATATACTGGACCGGATCTGGGCCAAGCCCATTGAAACATTTGTTTCAGCTCCCAAAATTTTTTGTCCAATTTAGTTCACAATTTTTTTTTTTAATTTTTTTTTTATATAACCAATTATAGACTCACATTTTTGTTTTTGTTTCAAGCCCCCAAAATCTCATGTGCATTTTAGCACCAGAATTTTCTTTTGAGAACTGGATAGCAACATAACCGGTCCAGTAAGTTTGGGTTTGGATCTCCATGGATGTTCCTTCAGTGTGTGTACTCTGGAATCTGCGAAAGGTGAGACTGAACTAGCAAAAATCTGATGCATGCACAGAGGATATTAAATGATGAGTAACCGTGATAATCCCACCATGTTTTACATGGAAATATATATAACCGTGGAGGGGGAAGTTTTAAACCGCCCCAACACTTACCTCGGCTCGTCTTCTAACAGGATTGAATTCTGAGTATATATGTGACTAGTATTAGTTTCTTTTCTTATGAATACTAATTTCTTTATGGAAAATTGTATTCATCTTAAAATCTCATCTTTGAACGCACTTGAAGATATTCTTTTTTGGTAATGGGTAATCACCAGAAGATTGCAATATCCCAAAATTCTATAACTTACCACCATTAGACTACGTGACATGCAAAATCTTTCCCATGATGTACCACCAAGTAACATAAGAGATAAAATCCTATATCTTATGTCTTCCTCAACAATCACTCACTAAATTAATTAAAAGAAGATGCAAATAAATAATGAGAAAAAGGTAGGGTTAAAAGGCAAAGTATCCCACTTGTGTGTTTTTGGGGTGCTCTCTAATAAATCCATTTCCACCATAACCACAATTTTCAATTATACTGTACCTATCTCCAAGTCTCTATCTAGAATTGAATCAATATATCACATATTAACATATACAATTTATCACACTTATTTACATACTAAAGCCCCTTTTTTAGTTAGAAAATATCTGAATATTCATTCAAAAATATAGTGTCGGTCTTGACTAAGAGGAATAATTCCTAAGGGTATATGCTTATCAAGCTTGTAACTTCTTAATACCATAAAATAAGTGATCGTATCGACTATCGAGTACTGATTTTCATATATTTAAATCATACTATGGTAAAAGTCGAATTCGAGTTCGAAAATACAATTGGGCCGATGACTCTCATCTCAAGGTTAGAGAAATGTGTTAAGAGTTTATATAATTACATAACAAAATCTTGATAGCCAAAAACACTCATTAATTAAAAGCAACTAAACATGGCACCAGAGATTAAGGTTAGGGAAGATTATGACGACGCAAAAGACAAAACCAAAATCCAGACGATAACGTTTGTGGAGCAGAAGCGAAAAGGAGGCAATAGAGCAGATTACATCTGTTTCGTTTCCTCCTTTTGTTTTTGGCTTTTTGCAAAACAATAAATTATATTCTAACTAAATAATTCAAAAGAAGGTGTGAACATATGCAGACAAGTTTATGAGTTTATCGTTTAGATCTTAGAAAACCATTACATTTTCGGAAAAAAATTTGCACATGTTACCTTACCTGTAAAGAGTAAAGAGATGAGATGAAAAGAAACATTCTCCAAACAACATAGATGATAGATCCATCTTTACATCGTCCACTACTAGTAATCGTAAATTCTGTTGTACATATATAGTAAGTTCTTCACTGACTTTGCTTGCAATCATTTCCCAAATTAGGAAATTTACTCAAGAAAATTAAAATTTTCAAGATGGGTAGAAATTATGAGTTTAAAAGGAATTTTGAATTTCTTTTTAAAATAAATAGAGAATTATGAAGCGACACAACACATGGAAACAGAGGCACAATAATACAGAGAATTATAAAAGCAACAAACACACAACACTGCTTTACAACTTTCCACATATCATAATAGAGATATACACCAACTCAACAAGGTCCTCTTGATTAATAGAATCATATAATAATAGATATGATCAAGCTTATTTTTGTTAAATTTTTTTCAAAAAAAAAAAGAGATATAAATCAAATTAGTTCTAGGACAAAATGATTGTCCCTACAAAAGAATTTTGTAATTGGAAAAGATATGGACAGAGGCACAATCTGTATACACAAGGACTCATGGAATTGGATAAGCTCTTTCTGGGTCCCAAATTCCTCATCTCATTTCAAGAGATAGAGAAGGAACTTTCCAACACCAACAATTAATGATCTCTAAATTATATAATTCCCATAGTCCCCACTAACTAAGTATCCTCAAGCTATATATAAACACCATTTTGTAATCACCCAAGGGAATAAACCAGAGCAAAACAGCATAAGAGAAACCAAAGCAAAACAAAGAGAAGATATATTCTGATCTGAAAGCTTTAATTAATAGTAGAGTGGTGAAGATGTCTTCAGATCACTTACCTTCTTCATCTCAAGTCTTCCAAGAACACTTCATGGACAGTTTCATCTCAAGGAAATTGCTTCAGCAACTCCCATTTCACCACAACACTCAACAACAACAACAAGAACAAGCTCATGTACCTGATAAGAACAACTTGAGCGCCAACGTTCTCCTGCTTCTCTCTATCCTTGTCTGCGGTATCATCTGCTCGCTCGCGTTGCATTATGTAATCCGTTGTGCATTCAGACGTTCCTCGAGTTTCATGATCTCTGATCCCATCCCAAGCCAGTCCACACCACGAGGTTCAGAAGCAAACAAAGGGATCAAGAAGAAAGCTCTCAAGATGTTCCCAGTAGTGAATTACTCACCTGAGATGAACATAGAGTCAGGTGTTGGCGAGGAGTGTGTCATTTGTTTGTCTGATTTCGTAGCTGGAGAACAGCTTCGTCTGCTTCCCAAGTGCAACCACGGGTTCCACGTTCGCTGCATAGACAAGTGGCTTACGCAACATATGACTTGTCCGAAATGCAGACACTGTCTGGTAGAGACATGCCAAAAGATCTTAGGTGACTGTGATGAAGCTGATCAAGTTGTCGCAACAACAACAGAGAGCGTAGATGTCAGAATCGCTCCTCTGGAACCTGAAGCAAGAGTAAACACTTTTAGAGAAAGCAGCTAGAGTATGTCAACAAACCATTAGGTCTCCAAAACTTGGTTCTCCAACAAGATTGGAGATTTTTTTTATATAGATTTGAACACAATTTATGTCCGTATAGCCATAGGATTCCAAAATCAAATACATCATAAGTTCATCACACTTTTGTTTGCATTTTTGTGCGGTATCTGAATTCTATACTCTTATGCAATACTCAGAGCCAAGGCTAATAATCGAAACCATCATCTGCCAAATGCAATTTCATTGAATTCCTCTGCATATTCATGTCACAACCACAGAGTAGAACTAAGTAACCACTACTTTTAAAGGTCTGAAAAGAAAATGTTTCAATGAGGCTCAGGGGCACCAAGGTATTGCATCAAGAAGCAGAACAAAGACTACAGGATGCGATTTAGGTCTGCTCTAAAAGGTTACAAATCTATCCAACCACTCTCAAAAGCTTGGTACACTAACACCATCTATATACCCCAAAACCGACCCACAGTGAGTTATCTGGGTAAGACTATATTATGGATTCTTAGTCAAAATGATGAATAAATCAGCTGAGTGTTTTTGGAAAGGTATATGGACCCAACCCATAATAAGGTCAAACTAACCCACCTAAGTGAGTGGTTAATAGTCAAACCTAAAAGCTACTTTGAGGAATACTTATAGTCTTGAAATATATCAGGCTATATTTGCAATCATAACAGAAAGCTCCAGTTTTAACAATCTATCATTTTTTCTATAACAAATGAGGAGCTTCTTGAGTGATAACACACGTCAACTTACAAGATTTCACTGAGATTTCTTGTTTCTATGTCACTGTGAGATCTTGGAAATCCTCCATTTTACAAGATTTCAAAATCAAAAGGAGCTCCAGATAAAGCTGAAAGATCCTAGTCACTTATGATTGGATGGGAAATAGCTAAAGTTCCAGAAAAGAAAAACTATATATTACACTGGCCGAGTAACAAGTGGAAGCTTAATAGCAAACGAGGCTTTGCATAGAAAAGAAATATTATTGGTTCAACATAAGAATGTGATTTACAGGTAACATAAAAATCCACTACGCATCTGAGGGATATGAGATAGTATTATTGAATCATATTGTTGTAATATACCATAGTCCATGAGAAAATTGCAACAATTTGGTGAGTGCAATAATACATATATGTTGGACTTAGATGTTAACTAAGGACTTTATACTGGTCAACCGTTGCAGTTAACTACCTGTTAATACAACTACAAAAGCAATTGAGGCTGGCTAATAACAAAAAAACATTATAAAATTAACCATCTAATTAAACAACTAACGAGAAACTGATTCCTGGTGCCCTCAATGTATATAGTGTTTGACTAATATAGTGTTCTTTTGGTCTGGGGAAGAACACTATATCTATTGGTATCATAAGAACTCTGATCAATAACAAAAATTCATGTCTCAAATTTCTGGAGTATAATGGATATTAGAGGTTCAGAACATTCAGAATCATGCAAACTAAAATGGAAAAAGTTTGTCTACATACCATTGTAGAGGCAAAACGTTGAACACAAAAAGGTTGCGGCGCCAATTCATCCAAGCACAAATTGAAGTTCTCTACATAATCAAGAAAAATGAAAGATTAGTAGGAAATATTGATAAATATCCTACTGAGAAAGTTCACCAAATGACCATCACTGAGAAATGGGATCAAAATGTAATGAATAGGTCGCACCAAAGACAAGACAGAGATTGAACATCAATAAATGAACCTAGACAAAGAATTAAAAGAGCCACAAGCTCTGTATTAAATTGGATCATTAGAACATCAATAAAAATGAACCTAGACAGTTACATTTCTCTCGAGTCATTTAGAAAGATACAGTAAAATAATATAACTTACCTGATGATCCAAACTTAAAACTATTTCACATCTTGCTGCTCTTTTTTTTTTTCCTTCACTTTAATAATCACGTAGTAGGAAGACTACCAAATCAAGAATGTCAACCAAAGGATGCACGAGTATCACATGGTATTCTAAGATACATAAAGCAATAAAGGCAAAGTTAATCACTTTCCAGGAAGGGATAAAAAAAACAGAGCACTATCTGTTCTTACCAGCTATATGGAACCTAGTGGCACAAATTAAAGAAAAGACCAATCATTTTCACATAGGCTTTATGTAATGTTCAGAGTGAGACTGCTGAAAAACAATAGATCTCCCATGCTTTTTGCAACATCAAAATACATAAAATTCCACCCCTATTTAATGCATCACTTGGATCTAGTGTCTTTAAATTCAACTTCCTTCAACATATGCACCAAGAAAATCATAATAATGATACATGTGTGAAGTTAATCAGTATAGATGGAAGTCACTGCATAACTTAGATCTAAATCGAAGTTAATCAGTATAGATGGATGTCACTGCATAACTTAGTCTTCATCAAACAATATTTTTGGCGTAAGATATACTAAGACAGAACAGAGAGAGGCCAGTGACATGAGCCAAGACACAAGAGATGTATATCTGAATGCAATCTCAAAGATAAGGGAAAGTTAATGGCTACTCAAGCTAAAAGCTCATGGGTCCCTGTAAGCAATTCTTGGGGATTTGATTTGCTAAATTTACTGCCACATGGCACTACAATTGCAGTAAATGGTATGAAGGGCCCATTTTCAAAAAGAAAGCACACTAAGAGTATACAAATTCAGTGGAGAATCCATGTAAGATACAGACTATTATATAAAGGACCCTGATAATTTCCCCAGCATATTCCACCAACCATATTTCAGAAAATTCGATTAAAAAACTATTTACCATTAAATATCAGAAAGTAGATGAAGCCTTTACCTTTGTCTCTATATATAGAATCAGCAACCAAAACCTCGATCATCTATCCATCAACCTCTTCAAACAAGGTTTTATCATGTCGACTGCAACTTCTGCTCCCACTATCAAACCAACTAAGCTCTTCCAAGATGTTCTTGGAAATTTTCACTCAAGAAGGCTACTACTTCATACAGCTTATCAACCACCTACCACGGCATCGCCGCCACTTTCAGACGCTCATGAAGCATCACACTCCTATGCACATCACATGAGCTTTGATGCAAATGTTGTCATGGTCCTGTCGGTCCTCTTATGTGCACTAGTTTGTTCACTTGGACTGCATTCTGTCATAAGATGTGTGTTGAGATACTCCAATATACTATCATCCGAAGCTAGTGAAGAGCTCGCAGTTCGCTTGGCCAACACAGGAGTCAAACGAAAAGCCTTGAAGAGTTTCCAGACGGTAAGTTACTCTACAGAGCCGAAGCTGCCTGGCCTAGATACGGACTGTGCCATATGTCTCTCGGAGTTTGTATCCGGAGAGAGAGTCAAGCTTCTGCCAAAGTGCCACCATGGATTCCATGTCCGGTGTATAGACAAATGGCTAAGTTCACACTCATCTTGTCCCACCTGCAGGCACTGTCTCATTCAGACTTGCCAGAAGATAGCTGGCTGCAGTGAGACGACCTCGTCACCAAATCAACCACCACAGGACAGGATTAGCATGCATATAGCACCACTAGGACCGGAGAGATTGATACACGGCTTCTGAACACAGTCAACTAGGCTTAGGTGCAGTTATGTTTTCAAAACCTTATGTCTATGTAGAATTAGTCGAGATCGCTGTTTATATGTAGCTCAATATTCAAAACAAAGTTATAATTGTAAAGCTTTAAACATTATGACATGTTGCTTTCTTCACTCTTTAACGCCTGAAAGTGTACATATATTCCACAAAATGACATGCCAATAGAGGATCTTAGACTCACGTGAGTGAATGAAATCATAAACAACTCAAAACCAAAGATAAGGAAGCTGCAAAGGCAAAACACTTAAAAACAAACGAGTTAACTAATGGTTCCTTAAATCTCTATGCTTTAAGAAATTCCCAGATCATTAGAAAAAAAGTATTATGCCAATAACTACTTGTTGAATAGTGATTAGTGCCCAAAAATAAATAATCTAGCCCTCCAGAAAAAAAAAAGAAGACCTTTCTCTTGTTTCGTTATCGAACTTTTAGTGTAGTGAGTAGGCTGTGATGATGCTCAGACAGAATTAAAAACGTGGCAAAATAAGCCTCAAAGAATACTCTCAAGACCCCACAAGAGAAACAGGCTTTTGATATAATCCACCAAAATGAGAACAAGCCATAGATGATTGAGAAAGATATATGTTACACCTAGAACAAACGGCATAATAAAGTAAAATGGGATCTGAGCATGAAAACCACCATAGAGTCAAATCAGATGATAACAAAATGGGTGGTTTTTAATATTGTACTAATCATATAAAGTAAATGGTACGATAAATTAACAACCGCAGTTGGTGCTGTCAAATATTAAAATCTGTTTTACCAAATTGAGGACGCAGAATCTGGACCATTAAGAGCCAAAAAAAACCAATCATTTAACACTGAAAAACCACTGAGAGAGCAGCAAATGAAACAGTAGTCCCAAAATGTTGAGTTTATACTTCATAACGCCCCTTAAATAGACAACCTTGGAAGATGAAAAGGTAAACTAACCCAACCATACTGTATCCGAACCTGCCCGAAAGGCCCGTGCTTTCCAAAATTCCAACTTAAATTCAACTAAATATATATTTTTTATATAGAAATTCATACAAGATTAAATGAAATTTCAGGAATTTGGCATAGCAGCAGTGGGAAATTAAAACAAAAACTTACCTCCCTTCTTCAAGAAGATCGAATTGCAGCTCTGAGGATCACCACCTCTTCGTTGGCGCCAATATTTTTCAGTAGTCTGGGGCGGATTGGACCGGTAGACGTTTCGGGTCAGATCATTTTGGGCCTATTCAAAAGGCCCAACAGATAAAAAATTTGCCTCAAAAATACAATAATCATTGCTCCGGAGTTGATTTTCCACAATCATCACATCACCCCGTGAGCTGCCGTATAAAGTCCATTGTCATTTGTCGATATTCAAATGGTTAGCCCAAATGGTTAGGTCTTGATCTATTGTCAGGTTTTGAACCGTGTGATAATTCACTTACTTTTTTGTGTCAACAATAATAATTCACTAACTTTAATAATGCAACTATGTCATTCATTTTGTAAAAGTACATCATAACTCAAATTAAATAAAAAGGATCGGTTATTAGTTTATCTATTAAATATACAAAAAGTCTGTGTATTGTGTAAAAATTTGAATAAAAATATAATATCAAAGAAAAAAAATCTATCAATAGATAACTAGAATCTGGAACTTCATAGTCAAAAATCTACATGTAAACATATATATAAGTATGTTTTCTTTTTCTTTTTTTTTAAGTATGTTTTCTTGATAAAGTAATATTATATTTTCCAGTGAATTTTCATGCATGTAGGGTTTAATAACCCAAATGAATTTATAGGTAATAAATCGAATAATCGATATTACAAAAAAAGCAAGAAATCTTTATGGGTGGATTGTGGTGTGCCACTACTAGTAAAGTTGAAAGGGAGAAAAAGCTAGATCTCTAGGATCAAGCAAACCATTATTTACATTCTAAATCCAGAAAACTAACCTTAATTGACTTTTCTCCAAAACAAAAACATGAACGTGGCCTGCCATATATATGTAACTATATTATTATATAAAAACATGAACATGGCCTGCCTCATAAAATAAAGAGTGGGAATTAAATGTAATCATAATAGTAGCAACGAAAATCAGAAGTAGTTTCGTAATGATGGACACAACGTTTTCGTAGGTGCTAGCTCAAGCTTCCCACATTCTTTTTTCCAACTTTCTCTCTCTCGCCTGATTCGATTGTATTCGGCACGTGCGATTCACGTGAATCACAAAAAGTTGACTTTTTAGTTTTCATCTCTCAACGAAGATAGAAAGTTTCTGAGGATGAAGGTTAGTTTGTCGAACATGAGGATGGTTTGATCTAACTATCATTCATTAATTCAGTTTGTGATACAAGTATCGAATACATAAAATCAGATTACACAGTGTTAAAAAAAACATAATACATGCGTGTCCACATTCTATAACTCAAATCCGTAATCTAACATAGTTTGTATTGCATATGGTAAAATCTATTTTAAGAATAGAAAAGCTAATAATATATAGTTCTACCGTCTACGACATAAGTGACTAGGTCGACCAGTAAATTTTTTAGAAATTAATGTTTTAAATTCAGAAAAAGGACTTATTATCTCTAATATATCGAGATATAGTTCATATATATATATATAGGTTATCATTATATAAGAGATGTTTGACCTTTAGAGGTACATGGCACAAGAAAATGTCTCAGTCATGTATTGGTATCTCAACTCAACAATACTTACAAACATATATGGTAACATTACAAATTATACAACTAATATTTGTGTGTCAGCAAGCATATAAAATTAATTCACAATCGTTTTGACGACTTCGGATGTCCATGTAGCTAGCTAGTAGGCACTATTTAATACATTGATCGTGAATACGATGAATTATTATATATATTTTATTTTATATTTATCCCTAACACATCATGAAAGTCACTTTCTTTCACGCTCTGATCTTACTATTCCACATTTAAAAAATTAAATACGATTCGACTCTAATAGAAAATGAATTAATTACGTTGAATTTTTATGAAATCTAATAGAACAAGCCAACCACGACCATCGTTGCCTGAATTGACTCGGTTAAGTTAACACTAAAAGAAAAACAAAAATCCGAAAATAAAGAAAAAAAAAGAAAATGAAGCTGTCATTTTACGCCGAGCCGATCACAGTCAAGCCATCTCAGCAAAACAATCTGATTAAATCCAACGGCTGAGATCATTAATTAATTAAAAAAGGGAAATTAAACAGTTAACACGAGGGAAAAGGCTGTCTGACAGCCAGGTCACGTTATCTTTTCCTGTGGTCGAAATGATTCGTCTCTGTCGATAATTTTTTAATTTCTTTTTTGAAAGGCCGAAAAGAAAGTTGAACAGATAACCCGCCTATATAAATTCAACATATTTCTCCCCTTTGAATTGTCTCGTTGTCCTCAGTTTCATCGGCCGTTTTTGTTATCTCCGGCGAGAAGAGAGAGAAAGAAGAACAAAAAGCGAGAAGAAAAGAGAGAGAAAGAGACCGGAATCATCTCGGTTCCTTTTTTCTTCTTCGATCTCATCTTCTTCTTCGATCTCATCTTCTTCTTCTTCTTCCGCTCTTCGATCTTTCTCGTTCAAGGTAAAAAAAACCAAAGATAAACTTTCTGGATCTACTTTAGATGTTGGATCAGATGTTGTTTTTTGAATCTAAGTAGAAATCTGGAATTTGTGGAAACTCGGATCTGTGAACTATCAATAATCTTTTTGATCTACCGAGAATCGATTTCAGTTGACCGATCATCTTTAGCTCGATAAGCGACCGGAATTTTGTCTTTGATCTTGATCTGAATCTGAATAGGGATAGATCCATAATCAGACTACTGTTATTCTTGCGTTTTGCAGTTTTTTTTCTTTGATTTCATATCTGGAAATGGTTTGTAAATGTCCATTGAAATCTGAGCTCTCAAGGTTAGATTGAAATCCGAACTCTTAAGGAGGTAGATGAAGTTTTAGAATGAAATATGTTCGATTGAGGGATACCACTGGAAAGTATTTGTTCTTGTTGACTTGAATCGTTTACTCTTTTGTTTGTTTCTCCGATGGATAAGGGATTGTAGTTTCTTATGAACTTCGCTCAGTTCTTGTATGTATTGAAGTTGTTTGATTAATAGAAATCTACTTCTGATTAGTTAAGATGTTTACTTTCGATTCCATCTCTTTACGTTTTGCAGCTTATAAAAAATGGCTGAGGCTGATGATATTCAACCCATCGTCTGTGACAATGGTACTGGAATGGTGAAGGTTAGTTTAGTCTCTCTACTTTTGTTTCAGATCTGTGGATGTTCTCTCTTTTGCTTACAACCTACAGTGTGTTGATGATACAATTGGCTTCATAAATTTCTGTGTACAGGCTGGTTTCGCCGGAGATGATGCTCCAAGGGCAGTTTTCCCGAGTGTTGTTGGTAGGCCAAGACATCATGGTGTGATGGTTGGGATGAACCAGAAGGATGCATATGTTGGTGACGAAGCACAATCCAAAAGAGGTATTCTCACCTTGAAATACCCAATTGAGCATGGTGTTGTGAGCAACTGGGATGATATGGAAAAGATCTGGCATCACACTTTCTACAATGAGCTCCGTATCGCTCCTGAAGAGCACCCTGTTCTTCTTACCGAGGCTCCTCTTAACCCAAAGGCCAACAGAGAGAAGATGACCCAAATCATGTTCGAAACCTTCAACTCTCCCGCCATGTATGTCGCCATCCAAGCTGTTCTCTCCCTGTACGCCAGTGGTCGTACAACCGGTTAGTACATTTTAGGCCTTTCTTGTTTTTTTCTCTGTTTATATTCATTTTGAAACTGAGTGTTGATTCTCTCCCATGAGCAGGTATCGTGCTGGATTCTGGTGATGGTGTGTCTCACACTGTGCCAATCTACGAGGGTTTCTCTCTTCCACATGCCATCCTCCGTCTGGACCTTGCTGGTCGTGACCTCACTGATTACCTCATGAAGATCCTTACCGAGAGAGGTTACATGTTCACCACAACAGCAGAGCGGGAAATTGTAAGAGACATCAAGGAGAAGCTTTCCTTTGTTGCTGTGGACTACGAGCAGGAGATGGAGACTTCCAAGACCAGCTCCTCCATCGAGAAGAACTATGAATTACCCGACGGACAAGTGATCACGATCGGAGCTGAGAGATTCAGGTGCCCAGAAGTCTTGTTCCAGCCATCGTTTGTGGGAATGGAAGCTGCTGGAATCCACGAGACGACCTATAACTCAATCATGAAGTGTGACGTGGATATCAGGAAGGACTTGTACGGTAACATCGTGCTCAGTGGTGGAACCACCATGTTCTCTGGTATTGCGGACCGTATGAGCAAAGAGATCACAGCACTTGCACCAAGCAGCATGAAGATTAAGGTCGTTGCACCACCTGAGAGGAAATACAGTGTCTGGATCGGTGGTTCCATTCTTGCTTCTCTCAGCACATTCCAGCAGGTAAAAAAAATTGATTGGATTTTTCTCGATTTCCCAAAAGTTTGCAAATTTAAATCAAAGGCTGATAATTTATATGTTTGTTTGTCATATTAGATGTGGATCTCCAAGGCTGAGTATGACGAGGCAGGTCCAGGGATTGTTCACAGAAAATGCTTCTAAGCTCTCAAGAAAAAGGCTAAAAGCTGGGTTTTATGAATGGGATCAAAGTTTCTTTTTTTTTTTTTTTTCCTATTTGCTTCTCCATTTGTTTGTTTCATTTCCTTTTTTTTTGTTTTCGTTTCTGTGCACTTGTGTGTGACAAACTCTCTGGGTTTTACTTACGTCTGCGTTCCAAAAAAAAACCGCTTTCGTTTGGCGTTTTAGTCCATTGTTTTTGTAGCTCGAGTGATCGAATTGATGCCTCTTTATTCCTTATTATTCTATAATTTCTTTCAAAACTCGGAAGAAGAACCTTTGATACTCTTTGCATTGTTAATATAAGTATTGTATGAGACAAGATTTTATTGATTTGGCTAAGTGTTGCGTTGCAACTTCCATCAGGAGTCTAAATCATTGAGGCGTTACATGTTTTCCATTCACACACAAAGAAAACATAATTGTGATTATGATCTCGCACCATTTTAGTTACACTGATATCGTGACCGTCAAATTCTACTGTTTTAAGTTTAACCACCAAAACTAGTCCGAGGTGCTGCATCTCTTTGCTATTACTCTCTAATACATGATTTGGAGTGTAATGAAGTTCAGGAAATTTCAAATTGTGCTTTATACTACATTCGGTTAACTCGTTATAAAACTTGGGCCTTGTAAATAGCATAAAGAGACTGGTAAATTGGGCCATAGCATTAAAATGGAGGACGTAAAAGAAAAAAAAAACAATTTATTACAAATTAGTAACGTATGTATAACTGAGGAAACAATAGTGCTCGAAATCCAATTAACCCCAATCCTAGCACATTTTGCGTCTCTCCTCCCTCAGAGAGTCCTGCAAATTAGGGTTTAAGCAAAAAGAAGCTAGAGAAGAGTCGATTCCTTGTTAGTTCTCGTTTCTTTTGGGAAATTTCTCGTGTAGCAGTAGTTTCGAAGATCCAAGATGGCGCGTAATGAGGAGAAAGCGCAGTCGATGCTCAACAGGTTCGTCACCATGAAAGAGTCGGAGAAGAAGCCGCCCAAGGCGCGTCGACCTTACCTTGCGTCGGAGTGTCGCGATCTGGCGGAGGCGGACAAATGGAGGCAGCAAATCCTTCGAGAGATCGGTCGCAAAGTGGGCGAGATTCAGAACGAAGGACTAGGCGAGCACCGGCTTCGCGATCTGAACGACGAGGTTAACAAGCTTCTCAGGGAGAGATATCATTGGGAGCGGCGGATCTCGGAGCTAGGCGGTCCGAATTACTGGAAACACGCGCCGAAGATGACGGATCTCGACGGGAACATCGTCGAGGTACCGAACCCTAGCGGTCGTGGTCCTGGGTATCGGTATTTCGGTGCTGCTAAGAAGCTTCCAGGAGTTAGAGAGCTATTCGAGAAACCACCGGAGCTGAGGAAGCGGAGAACAAGGTACGATATATACAAAAGGATAGATGCTAGCTATTACGGGTATAGAGACGACGAAGATGGGATATTGGAGAGATTGGAGAAGAATGCGGAAGGAGAGATGAGGAAGAGAGCGGTTGATGAGTGGCGGAGATTGGATGAGGTTAGGAAGGAAGCGAGGAAAGGAGCGACGGAGGTTGTGAGCGTAGGAGCTGCGGCTGCGAAGGAGGTGTTGTTCGAGGAGGAAGAGGATGTGGTGGAGGAGGAGAGGATTGAAAGGGAGAGAGAGGAGGAGAAGGAAAGGGAGTTTGTGGTGCACGTTCCATTGCCTGACGAGAAGGAGATAGAGAAGATGGTTTTAGAGAAGAAGAAGATGGATCTGCTTAGAGAGTATGCTAGTGAGGATTTGGTTGAGCAGCAGACGGAGGCTAAAGCCATGCTCAATATCCAGAGATAAAAAAGGTAACTTTTTTGTTTACATAGCTTTTGTTTCCTTGTAGTCTCATTGAAGAATTCGATAATTTGTTCTGAAAACTTGCTCTGATGATATTCACTATATTTACATCCTAGAATGTTGTCTTTTATAGAGTTTGTTAAATTTGATAGATTTTATTATACAGACATGAGCTTAGAAACCATGACTTGACATTAGGTAAACATTTTTCCTGATAAGTTGAGTAATTGACTCAGTATTGAGAATGGTATTAGTACCCTTCATCGATGGAAGTTAGATTATCGACAAGCATTATTTCAATGGCCAAAATACAGAACTTTGCCTGCAATGGATCTTTTCTACTATATTGTTCTTGATGAATCTGAGTGACTGATAAAATCTTTCTACTATGTTGTTCTTGATTTATTTGTGTGACTGATAAAATCTTTATACCTATCAGGCTAAATCTAATCAAATGTGCCGTTTTGATGACAAACACTGTGCTCAATCTAAAGAAGAGAGGGGACAACCAGAGCCGGGCCTGACCAGCAGAGCTTGGGAGCCGATAAGCTAAAAGTTGTTAGGGGCCAATTTGTGAATTGTCGAGAACTTTTTTTTTGTCTAAAGTTCCAATCTATGAAGCTATGTTTTCTTTATATTCTCATGATCATTTTTGATCTTCTGTATTTTCTTCAATCCCTTAGATCAAGAGTCGTCCTCAAAGAAACTTGTGATTTTATTACCAAAACTCCATTTATTGATCAGACAAAATTCTTAAAAAGACCGTTATGATGATGAATGATACATTTGTCTAGAGATACGAACCACACCCACATGTTCTCAATTCTCACACACACACACAATCCCCAAACCATTTCTCTCTCTCTCTCTCTCTCTTGATAACGCAAACTCACCATTTTCTCTCTCTCTCTTCTTGGTCCTCCAATGGCGGACTACGACGACGAAATCCGCCACCATAACCAACCCTCCATCCCCAAAGAAACCGCTCTCCAAGCCCTAAACACCATAATCAAGCTCCACTTCGAGAAAACCCTGGAGAAAAAACGAGCCATCGACCACCAGAAGAAGAAGCTCCAAAAGCTTTTCCAGCTCTTCTTCATCTTCCTCGCAATCGTCTTCTTCTCTCTCTCCCAACCCTCAGGCCGTCTCCACTGCCGCCATTGCTGGGCACCAATCTTACTCCTCTCCTTCTCCCACCTCTTCTTCTACGTCTCCGTTGCTCAAACCCTCCGTGTCATCAACAACTTCAAGTACCAGCGACACTGCCACAAGCTCACTCTCGGCCTCGCCACCCACAAGCTTCTTTTCATCAAGTCACGCATCTCCGCCGGGGATTTCCTAAGCGGCGGCGATGGTGGCGGCGGAGAAGACGAGGTCTCCGCCTCCGCTGCTGCTTGGGATCTGGATGTTCCGTATCAGGAGCCACCTGAGAGTTACTTCGTCAAGTTTAAGAGAAAATGGGCTCTATATTTCGGATTCTTGATCCTTCTTTACACTTTCATGATCTCCTTCTCCGTCGTCATCCTCTGTTTCTGAGATCTCCTAGTCCTAGAGTGGCAATTTCGTTAATTCTACTGCAAAAACCCTTCTGCTTCTTATCGTTCATTAGTTTTCACTCTTCTGCTTAGAAGGATCATAAGAAGATGATGTAGAAATTAAAAGGGATCATGAAATGTTTTCAGCTTAGGAATTAAAAAAAAAAGAAGATGATGTTGTAGAAATGTGGGATCATAAAAAGTTGGAAACTTTAAACTTTGATTCAATCTGATTTGTTCCGAATTACAACGATTTGGTCAGAAAGATCCTTGCGTTTCGTATCTTCAATCTAATAGGAGGGATCACAAAAAGGTGGAACCTTTAACATTTGATTCAACCTGGAATGGCCTTGTTCATCTCATGTCTCACTTCTAGAACCTCAAGTTACAAAAGATTTTTAAAGCAAGATAAAAATTAACAATTTCAACATTAGTAGAGACATTTAACATTAATAATCAATCACAATCAAAAGTTTGAATTTTTTCTTCACAAAAATAAACACACAGACATAAACACATATCCAGCGGTCAGAATCTGACACAAAAGAAAAGAAAAAGAGTTTTAAAAAAATTTCGAAAGGGAAACAAAACACAAAAACACAGCAAGGTTGATTGTTTGAATCTAACAGCTAAATCAAAGCTCTCGGCTATGAGTTGTTTTGTTGTTGGTAGCTCCTCCTCTACGAATCTCCTCGCTGCTCGAGGAAGAAGGGTCAAGCCCGTACTCACTCGTGTTCCCATACTCACTGCTTGCACCGTACTCGTGGCTATCCAACGCCACTTTCCTGAACTTCCTCATATCAGCACTGTAAGTGCTCGAGTCATAGTCTGAGCTCGATCCTCTCCCGAGGAATGAGCTCTGCCCCGGTTTTGCTCCTTCGTTTAGATCATCTAGCGACGCATCTCCCTCCAGAGCTCGAACAATCTGTTAAAAACATTGGACCACAATGTTAATCCTTTCCTGCGTGTGTGTAAAGTAGGTGTTATCAAAGAGTGGTTATGTTTAGTAGCAAAACTTGCCTGGCTCATCTTAGGCCTGCGTCTAGCTGAGTGTCTCACGGCTGCTGCAGCACATGCCACCATTCGTGCCATCTCATGAGGCTCGTACTGGTTCTCGAGCCTTGGATCAACTAGTTCACTGTAATCTCCGTCTTGAGCTGCGTTCAAGCATAAGGGTCTTGCCTGTGTAAGAAAGTAACAGAAGTTAATTGTATAGATCATTAGGCCACAAAGATTACAACAAATGAGTCATTGTGTGATGATTTATATGTAGATATGGTACTGACCCAATCGACTAGACTGTCTTCCATTTCACCAGTGAGATCAACAGGTCGACGTCCAGTAATAAGCTCTAGAAGCATCACTCCAAAAGAGAAAACATCTGATCTGTCTGTAAGTTTCCCGCTCGACGCATACTCTGGAGCCAAGTACCTGTCATTTGATTCAGATTTTCTGAGATTCTTGATTAGAGAAAACGATTCTTGTATGACATTAAAAATCATGAGTGTTTGTTCTTGAAATGGAAGCAAGAGCTACTAAAGTTTGCAAGAACAGTTTTTATCGCGTATCTTTATTACCCGAAAGTTCCCATGATACGAGTGGACACATGTGTAACGTTGTCTTGAGATAGCTTCGCTAACCCGAAATCTGCAACCTGCAGATTTGAGCCAGTCCAGTTATAAAGAAAGAACAATCAAAGAATCTGAAAGCGTTATAATTCGAAATCATAAGCATACCTTGGCTTCAAAGGATTCATCAAGAAGAATGTTTGAAGCTTTAATGTCTCTATGAATGATTTTCGGATGACCTAAGTCCACAAAGTCAAGAAAACAAAGTTTGATCACATCTCTAATTAAACCTCTCGAGGTTCCCAATAATATGTTAGGTTCTGACTTACAATCTTCATGTAAGTAAGCAAGTCCCTTAGCTGATCCCAAAGCAATCCTGAGCCTTGTAGGCCAATCAAGAACATTACCACTTTTACCATGGAGATGGAACTCAAGTGTATCATTAGGTAAGAACTCATAAACCAACATCCTCTGCCCTCCTGCAATACAATATCCAACAAGAGACACAAGAAACCGATGATGAACTCGACTAATGATCTCAACCTCGGCCTGAAACTCACGCTCTCCTTGTCCGCTTCCCGCTTTAAGACTCTTCACAGCGATCTCTTTCCCATTAGGAAGTATTCCTTTGTAAACATACCCAAACCCGCCTTGCCCTAAGAGTCTTGCTTGAGAGAAGCCTTGAGTTGCTGCAGCTAGCTCGTCGTAGGTGAATGTGCTCTTGTTGAAACCTAGAGCCACTGAAGGGTGAGGTGGTGGTAGAGACGGACCATGTGGACCTGAGTAGTTTGAGCTCATATCGCTGCTGTTTCCGTTGTTTATACCGCCGGAAACTGGCGGTGGTGGTGGTGGTGGCGATGGTTGCCAGCTTCCGGGTGGAGGTGGAGGCGGTGAGCTCATCCAGTTGTTGTTACCGTTTGATCCTGGATATTGATTAGACAGGTTCATTACGTGATCGCTTTGGTTATTGTAATGTTGTTGTTGTTGGTATTGATCACCTAAGGATAAAAAAAAAACAGAGACTTTGTTTAACCTTGTTTCTTGGGTAACAAGAAAACACAGTTGAATGGTTTTTCCAGAATAAATCGAAATATTCAGAAAACAAACCTCAGCCGAGAAACTAATTTTCAAGAATTATAACATAGTTCAAAATATTATGAAATTTCAAAACTTTGAAATGTGGTTTCAAGGTAATTTAATGAGTTAGGTTATTAAATAAAAATAGCTTGGTGCTCAAGGAATAGTTCTAAAACAGAAATGGAGTTAGGCTTAGGGCTAGGTTTCATGGGTTTGGTTGGTTGGTGACTTGATATTGACCATATATGTTTTACCTTTGCTCGTGGCGTAACCATTGCTTGCATAGTCAGGCATTTGATGCTTCTTTTTCTTCTTGCGACAACAACAGACGCAGAACAATATCATAACAAGAAACAACAATCCAGCACCAGCAGCAATTCCTATGATAGCAGCCGTGTTCTGTGCATCGTTACGTGAGGAGTTCGAGCCACCACCGCTTGATCTAGGCGGAGCCAGAGATCTTGGTGGAGGAGGAGAGTTACGGTCGGAGTTTCTTGAAGGAGGCGGAGGCGAACGATTGTTATTTCCTCCCCCATTGCTTTTGTTGTTATTATCTCCATTGTTGTTGTTATTGTCATTGTTGTTCCCATTGTTGTTATTGCCATTGTTGTTATTACCATTGTTGCCATCATTGTTGTTATTACCATTGTTGTTGTTGTCATTGTTGCCACCATTGTTGTTGTTGTTGTTTCCTTGTGGTGGCGATGGTGGAGATTGTGAGCCTGAAGAAGGCGGTGGAGGAGAGGAGGAGGAACCATCGGAGGAATTCTCCGGTGGAGGAGGAGCTGGTGGTGAAGATGAAGGAGAGGTTGAGGAGGAGGAAGGAGACGGAGGAGATTGTTGTTGATTGTTGTTGTTGTTGTTGTTGTCGGAGGAGGGAGGAGAAGGAGGTGTAGGTGACGGCGGTGAATTCTCCGGGGATTGCCCCTCCGCCATAATATCTATTTGGTGTTTCTTTTTTTTCTTCTTTTGTTTATCAGAAAGCTCTCTCCTTAAGATTTTCTTAAGAGAGAGAGAGAGAAAGAGGGAGAGATGAACAAAGAGAAACACAAAAGCTCTTTGTGTGTTTTAAATTCTATTTTTATGAGTGCTTTCAATTTTTTTTTTTTTCTTTTTTCTGGATTGCTGATTTCTTCTTTTGTAGGGTCTATATTTGGGTATTAATACAGCCATGCAAATTATATACCTTCAACTAAATTTGAAAAACAAAAAAAAAATTTACAGTCAAGAACTCGATGTGTTTGATAAAAATAAAATGATTGGTTTACCAAACAAAGAACACATAAAAACAAATTACACGTGAAAGAGAAAACATAACAATAATGAAAAAGTTAACATAGGAAACAAAATGATAATGTCACAAGGTAAAACGCAAAAAAAAATATACATATGAATTGCTCTCGTTGAGAGTCGAACTCAAGACCTCCCGCTTACTAAACGGGTGCTCTAACCAACTGAGCTACGAGAGCTACTAATTATTTAAATCCACATAAAATATAAGTTAAATAAATTATGGTTAAAGGAAAAACAGCATTATTCTCTTTTAATATAAAGACAAAAGACTAGTCGCCTAAGAAATTACAAGACAGATCAGGAACAGCTTAGACTCTTCAGGGCACAGAGAGAAACCAAAGTAAAAAAACACCTTTCTTCCACAAATTACCAGAGATCGTAGAATCTTCGGGCTCTCTTTTAGAAGATCCGTTTACCGTTCCTTCTCTCTCCGATTCCGATGCCTTCCCGTAGACGTACCCTCCTCAAAGTCATCATCCTCGGCGATAGCGGGTAAGGTTTCTGCAACTCTGTTAATTTTTATGTTTTTATTTGCTTTTTATGTGATTATACTGGTTTTTTCCGATGAGCAGTTTTGTTGTTTGGGTTTTGAGTCTTAGGCACGATTTGGTCTGATTCGTTTCCTGCGGTTTAGATACTGATATGATTTGTTGATCTCTTAGTTTAGCTGATTTCTTTGCTGCTGAATTTGGTTCTTTTTTATTTAATTTAATCAATTACTCGTAATTGATCTGGCGTTAGGTGTGATTTAATTAAAGGTTGCTTTTTTTTTTGGTTGATCAAGATATTAGAACTTTGCTAGGCTGTTTGTTTCTTTGCTAAATTGAAAACAATTGTGTTGATCTCTGCTAAGTTTCCTTTACCACGATTTTAGTGTGTAGATTGATTTTTACTTGTTGGTTCTTCATCATCATGTAGTTATAAACTTATGATCCGAGGTTTGCCTTTACAATTTTGCATGTTCTTGACTGCATTTGATTTGAGGGGAAATTATGAAATACTGATTTTGTTCTTAACATTCACGATTATGTTGGTTATGTTACAAGTGAGAAAACTTTAGGAGGATCCTGGTATTCACGAATGAGGGAGAATTGTCTCTAAATTCTCGTTTTAGACTCAATTTTGTGTCTGTGTAATGAAATTGTTGTCTATCCTGGATGTTCTGTTGCTATTTTTATTATAGTGAACTAATTTGGACGTCTCTTACTTGTGATTTTGCAGGGTGGGGAAAACCTCTTTGATGAATCAGTATCCTAGTTTTATTTGAATGGAGTAAGAAAAGAAGTATAACATAGTAGTTTTCTAGATATGGAAAATTAGATTCTTTGGTCTCGTTATATGATTTAGCTAGATCTTTTCGGAGTTAGATGAGTTCGCACTTTTGTTTTGGTTAACACGATAAATTCAGATATGTTAATAAAAAGTTCAGCAACCAGTACAAAGCGACCATTGGAGCGGACTTCTTGACCAAGGAAGTACAGTTTGAAGATCGACTTTTCACTTTACAGGTTCTTACTAGTGCTTTATCAGTAAATTACTTAGAATTCTTTGAAGTAAGCTGCATGTGCTTAGTACAATGGTGCTGGGGTTGTTTTCAAAGGAGAGTTGTTGGCTATGAGAGGAAGGTGTTAGCTTAGAATTAACTAATAAACAATGCTTCATTCGAATATGTTCTTAACTATCACCAAAACTTTCCTTGATAACTATCACCAAACTTTTAGCTTTGGTGTGAACTGCCTTCCTTGCTTGATCAGGAGAACAAAGCTCACTTGTTCCTGTCTTTATGTCAATGTGTTTATTACAGATATGGGATACAGCTGGACAGGAAAGGTTTCAGAGTCTTGGTGTAGCTTTTTACCGAGGTGCTGATTGCTGTGTCCTTGTATATGATGTCAACTCCGTGAAATCATTTGACAGTCTGAACAACTGGAGGGAAGAATTTCTGATCCAGGTAACATATTCAAGCCTCTTTCCTCTCAGCCCCAATAGATAGGTAGAATTTCACTGCAGGCAAATCAGTCACGCAAGTGTAATATATCTCTCTCACAGGCGAGTCCATCGGATCCAGAGAATTTTCCATTTGTTCTTATCGGAAATAAGGTTGACGTGGATGGTGGAAACAGCCGAGTGGTATGACGTGCTTACCTTAATTTCCATCTTTCATGAACTTTTTTCAAGCTGTAACATTAATGTTCCAAAACACAACTTGACTTCATCACAGGTTTCGGAGAAAAAGGCTAAAGCATGGTGTGCTTCAAAGGGAAACATTCCCTACTTTGAGACCTCTGCTAAAGAAGGCACCAATGTGGAGGAAGCTTTCCAATGCATTGCCAAGAATGCGTTGAAGAGCGGAGAAGAGGAAGAGCTGTAAGTTTCAAAACATTTCTCAATCCTTACATCTTTTTTAAATCACGGGTTTGGTCTCAACATTCTCTTTGTCTTTTTATTTATTTTTCTTTAGATACTTGCCAGACACAATCGATGTCGGGACAAGCAATCAGCAGAGATCTTCTGGTTGTGAATGCTGAAGAATTATCTCACAGAAGAATGCTTTTGGTCTCTTCTTCCATTACCTCTATGTTGTAAATTTGTTCTTTTAAAAACAAATTTGAATTGTTTAGTAACTATTTGCGGGATTTTACGTTATTTTGCAACTTAAGATCTTTACATTTTCTATGGTGTTATCGGAAACTCAGCCAGAGAAAACAAAAATTGTCGGGTTTCGAAACGTTGTAATGTATCGTTTTGTTTCGTTTGGTTTTTCGTTAACCAAAAGTCAGAGAAATCGCAAGTTGATCTTCATACTGCAGTTATGAAAGTTAAGTCAAAAGTTAGCTAACTTAATCATAATCATTTTTTTTTTTTGCATGATTCCATAGAACATGAACACAAAGGATAAGCAAACAGGGATAGATAGATCATATTCATAGATAGTCAAGTCCATTGATTTCCTTTTTTTTTTTTCATTCTGTAAAATAAGAACTTATTTTCGTTCAAATTACACATATCTGATCAGATTTTCTACAACTTTTGTATGCCACATTCCCCTCCAAATTCTAATAAAACAAAGAATCACTGTTTGTTTAGTCCAATCTCAACCTCAGGATTCGAACTCGAGCTCCTGTTCTTAGGCTTACTCTTGGAGTCTCTCCACCTAAAACCACTGAAAAGCTCGTCCATATCCTCAAGCATCCTCCCTTGCGTCTCCGGCAAGAAAGTGTAGAAGAAAAACCAAGCCACCGTCGCAATCCCACAGAACAAGTAAAACGCTCCTCCGGTGGTTATCCCTTCCGTCAACGGGAGAAACCCCATCGAGATCACACCGCTCGTCACTCTGTTCACCACCACCGCAAAACTCGACCCCTGAGATCTCAACCTCAACGGGAATATCTCCGAACTGTAAACCCAAGTGATCGGTCCAGCTCCGATCGAAAACGTGGCCACGTAAGTCATCACCATCGATATGCTCAACACCAAAACCCACATCGCTTTCTTCTCCGTCTGGTGGTCTATAATCGTCAGAGAGGTTCCTAACGTCGCCAGAGAGAGCACCATTCCTCCGACGCTGGTCAGTAGCAACGGCCGTCTTCCGACTCTGTCGAGGAGGAAAGTGGCGACTAGTATGAACGATGTCTTCACGATTCCAACGGCTACAGTCGCTAGAAGCTGCTGGTGATCGGTTTTGAGTCCGGCGGTTTTGAAGATCCGCGGCGAGAAGAGAACCACCGCGTCGATTCCGGATGCTTGCTGGAAGAAATGGATTCCGATCGCGGCGATCATGACGCGACGGACGGCTGGAGTTGGACGGATTAGAAGCTCTCTCCAAACTCCTTCGCCATGGCTGTTCTTCCTCGACACCTGAAAATCGAGAAATTAGGGCAAAATTGGGGACGGAGAAATTCGCGAGATTTCGAAATTTCAGGAGATTTGTGTGTTTACCTGAACGATGTCGTCGTGGCAATCGGCGGGAATTCCGGCGGCTTCTTTGATGTCTTCGAGACGGAGAGCTGCTTCGGAAGGTGAATCAGAGGTTTTGTCGAGGACTCGTTTGGCTTCTCTGAGACGGCCTTGCATAACGAGCCACCGTGGAGATTCCGGCATCGCGAGAACTCCGATCGCGAGTATCACGGAAGGCACGGCTCCGATTCCGAGCATGAATCTCCATCCCAGTTTCAGAGGAAATTTCGAGAAGGCGAGGTTCGATACATATCCGAGCATTATGCCGGCGTTGATGAATACCTGTACACGTCAGCATAACCGCTCTGCCACGTCAGATATTACTCTCTCTCTTTTTTCTTTATTTTTTTCAATTTCATCTTTCTCGTCTAAAAATCATGCACCAAACCTATCCGAAATATCTATATTCTAGCCAAATCGTTTTAAAGATGATGAACGAAAAGTCAGCTATTTCCTAGTTACCCAAAAACCAATAGTAACATTATAAGTTATAGTTTTTATTTAGAATAAAAAACATATTTTTAAAAAAATAATAGTTTTTATATAAACACTGTTAACTATATAGAAAATTAATTAATCTCTTGGTTACACGTTAGATATTAGCGCCCAACTAAGTATGTAATATTTTAAGTTTGATTAATATATATATATATATACCTCAGGGAAGGAAGTGAGGAAGCCGCGAGAAGAAGCCGGAGAGACTTCGGCGGTGTAGACAGGAGCGATCATGAGGGCATAACCGACACCGATTCCGGCGACAAACCTCCCGAACATGAGGAAAGCGTAGTTAGGTGCGAATCCCATGAGAAGAGCTCCGGCGAAGAATATAGCTCCGGCCAACACGATTGTGTAACGCCGACCAATCCAGTCGGATGTTTTGCCGGCGGCGCAAGAACCAATAAGCGAGTAGATGTTGAGGATTCCGGCAAGAATACCGATCTGAAGATCACTAATCTTCAAATCTCTCTTGATGTAAATCATTGCTCCACTCATCACTCCTATATCTACAAATTAAAAAACAAAAGTGCTCATTTGATTAGAATTTCATTTAGTAATATGAATGTGTGTGTGTAAGTATACATTGAGTTTTTTTTTTTTTGGCGTTGACCAAAAGAAAAAACTGACCATAACCAAGGAGGATGGATGTCATGGAAGCTAAGATAGCACACGCGAATGCATACTTGTTCCTCTTTGGTTTCGCCGGCGGACCTAACTCCGGCACATGTTTGGTTCCCTGTGCCGGCGACATGACTGCTTGGTTTTCCGGCGTGAAACCTGTCATTTGGAGAGAGAGAGAGAGTATGGAGAGAGAGAGAGAGAGAGAGAGAGAGAGAGAGAGTATACTAACAACAACTTGTGGTAATGAGTTTGTGTCTTAAATAGACGTGTGTGTTCAGAGTCTTGTGGAAAGGGCAAAAACGTCCGAGACAGTGGGAACACTGGCTAAAGATATGCGTATCATTTACATTGCGTCTTTCATTAGAGACAAAAACAAAGAAATCAATAGAGGAACGGCAACTAATGTCTAGTGATACACAATTTCATTTTTATATGTAATTGTTTAATAGACTAGTAGCACAATTTTATGTTGAAATTATTTGGATTTACTCTACCGAAAATGCGAAAAGGACGACCACAATTAAAAATTTGGAGGGTTTAACGGTAATCTCGTAAAAGGCTACTTGTTGTCCATGTGAGCTTGTTGACTGATGTTGTCGCCTTGATCATCAGGATTTAACGCATAAGACAGCTCAAATGGTGTTATTTAATTCAATTTAAAATTATTTTCCTTCTGTAACCTGCTGGTCTGAAATTTTTAAAACACTCATCAGCCAGATAATTAATATCTATTTGAGGGTGAGATGATATGTGATAAGATAATATACACCAATGGACGAAAGTTTACCCTACGATTCGGATCAATGATATTGGATATAATATTTATCCAACAAACGCATCTGTGATTCGATCTATTTTATTTTTTTTTTTGATGATCTAAATTAGTTTCCTTAAAAACAAATAGTTGCCTTTTTTCTTATATATAATCTCATACGTGCGTTTCCATAATGACCTAGCTGTGAGGTTGAGACAGAGCTTACCACAATGAGAGTACTTCCACTTTAGTTGATGAGGGCGAAAAGAAACTCATTAACGCAGGTAAATATGATTATTAGTTTTAAAAATCTACAACAAAGGTAAATATGAATGGTAACACATTTTCAAATCCTTTCGTAGATTTTAGCCCCACAAAAAAAAAAAATCCTTTCGTAGCTTTCAATGATGACTATCCACGTACGCGTGCATGTTTTCACGAATAAGATCAGAAGATAAACTACGTATATATAATAATTCGAGGATTCTAACGTAAATGAAGAGCTGATAACTTAATAATTTTGTTCACAGCTGAAATTAATATGACTAATCTAACAAAGGAATTTCAAGACTTCCAGTCTTCTGATAAAAAGTTATATGTTTTTTTTTTTTTGCTAAATGGTAAATATTTCATTGAAAATTGAAAATGAAAACGATTAGGTGTATATGGTAAGTTATTAACTATGGTTCCTCAGAGAAGCAAAGTCAACACACATAACAGTCCAAGACCACATGTCTTGATTCTTGACGATGATAAGAGGTAAATAAATCACTTTCTAACAATATATTAACATTAAAAGATTCCTACAAAAATAATATTCATATATGATATTTATGGATACTTGCAAGAAACAGTCAGTATAGAAGTCGCTGGCTTACGAAAGCAATCGCTGTTGTGAAGACTGTCAATTGTCAAAAACAACTTGCTTCTACTTGTAGACTCTTTTAGTCTTAACTACAACAAAATAAAAACCAAATACTTATCACAACTAAAGTTCGATACCCATCTACTCGAATTCTTGATTTCCATGAGCGTTTTGGTTTGCGGTTAAGGCCGTTCAGCTATGGGATTCGACTCCAGTTCCCGACATGGGATTAAAAAGTATGGTAGGTCCGACAAAAATAAAATTCTTAATTCTTAAACTTTACGAGTAATTTATGACATACATCATGCGTGGTGAATGGTGATCTTGAATTTATGAAATTATGAGTTTTTTATTTGGTCGACAGAAATTATGAATTTCTCTTGATATTTTTTGTTTCTTTTAAAGAAGATCCCTGAAATAAATAAATGCATCTATAGACTTTCGAGGCAAAATATAGTATAAGAGAGCCATTTGATTTCTTCCGGATGACATCAGTTTGTTGACTTTCAATAATGTGTAGTCAAAAGCTTGATTTTATCCAATTATTATACTATGCTTCAGTCCTCAAGATAGAGTTTTCCTTCACAAATGCTTATAGTTATAGTATGTATCACGTTATCGTAAACAATTTTATATAACCCTTGTGAACAACGAACGTTTTTTGGATTTAGCTAAACAAAAAGAACGTACGTATCAATATATACATACATATATATATATATATTACTTATTGTTTTAGTGTTTGTGTGTGTTTTGTTAACAAGGGATAATTATTTTCAGCATTACCTAAACTTAATTCATGTTAGAAAGAAAGAAAAAATCCGATAATTGAATTGAAACAACAGCAAATGGTGAAGTGGGCCAAGTTTTAGCCGAAAAGGCAGCCATCATAGGTGACCATAACATTGTGCAGCTCGGAAATTTGGACTCTCAATGATATGATTTGACCTCCCACTTTCGCATTTCCAATGTGATTTTACATACATATATGTTCGTGAAATGTGAATTATTTGATATCTCACATAGTTATATACGATATTTGTCATTCATCATATAGCTAAAATA